TTAACCAACTGAGCCACCCAGGCGTCCCCCATCTCTCTTTCTTAAAGTATTATTGTCACACTGTGTTCTAAGAAGGTCCTGACTGGTGAAACATCTACCTCTGACCAGACCACCCTACTGCCTAGAACCACCTATTGTTTGACAAAAGAGAAAGGAGTGATTTTAGTCATTTAGTGATGTTTACACCAGACTCAAGTATCTGAAAATAAAGACATATGTGCCATCCACACACCTCATCATGGCCCCACAGACTGTTATTATTAGAAAACCAAAGCTCCTCAAGTGGCATCCCTGGGGTCTGATCCTAATTCAGAAACAAAGGTAAGGCTCCTTCCCTGATTCCGTTTTCAGCCCTATCTTCCTCTCCTATCCAAAGAGCAAGTGTTGAGTGTGTTAGGATAGAAAAATCATCTCATCCATTCGGGAATGGAAAAATGTATATAGGAGAGAAAAGGGAAAAGTATGGAAAAAAGCAAAGAATTGGTTAAAAAAAAAAAAAAAAGATGATCATCTCCTAAATAGAAACTCTTTAAGAAGCTGTAAGTCATACAGGTAATAACTTCCAAGGTAGCCGAAGGGGTTGAAGTATCACTCTTGGTCCTCACTGGGTAAAATCTATCCTAAAGTTTCTAAATTCGACTCTAAAAAATTGAATGAAAAGGAAACCTTCTAAAATACCTTCTCTACCACTAAAAATTGGGGGAAATGAAAGCAACTGTCTGTGATGTTTGAGGTGTCCTCTGGTCTTGAGTCCTGGCCTGCTGAGAATGCCCTCCCAGCCTCAAGCCACTTTGGTTTTGTTAATGCCTTGTGGCACCTGCGGGAGGGATGAGGCTTTGTACAAATGCATTGGTAAGGCAGGTCTTGGGGAACCGTGCTTGGGCAGGTGGCAGATTTCTGATCTCTAGTTTGCATTGATCTTACATCTAGACACCGATTCAGAAGAACAGACACTCCCTTTTCCAGTGCCTTCGGAAAGATTGCCGCTCCGTAGAATGAGTCCTTTCTCCTCCACCCTTAATCTACAACCCAGCTTTCCCGGGAGATCCTACTTTGATATCCGATCCTCACCCCACCAGCTGAGCTTGCATTCCTCTTTGCAGTCTCTCAATGCACCGGGTGAGCCGAGCTCGTCTGACCTTTCCCCTTGATTTCTCTGTGCCTCGATGGCATCTCCGAAATACTTGTTTTGTTCTTGCCATTCATGTGCATGGAGAGGGCAATGAGCTGATCTCTATGTCTGTGGCCTGCTTCTGGTATGAGGAGGGTTTGGATGCTGGAGCTGTGTGGCGTTCTTGTTTGTGTGGTGTAAGGCCCAACCATCTAGCTGTGGTCAATGTATAATGGCATTGGAAAGTGGCGAGTGAAGTTGTTCTTTTTGCACCAGCTAGTACCGCCATGGATGACCTGCTCTGTCATCACATGCAGTGACATAGCACGGCATAAGCGCTGGCTGAGTGGAGGCTGTGGCCTTAGTCTGGGAGTTGCAACCCTGCTGTATCCAGGAAACCAGCTGTGTCTGGGAGACTGGATCAGTGCATCCAGCCCATAGTGGTCTGATTAAACATAGACTCAAGAGATCTTTATCGAAAAATAAAGTAAAAACACACCAACAGCAGACAGCATCCCACAAAGCAGCCAAAGCAGAGAGCAGAACATGAAAGTATTTTCTGCAAAAGCCTGGGCTTGCTGGTAGGACAGTCCCACTCATGGTGGATTTTTCCTAGCAATGGGGAGGGAACACCACTAGCCAAATTAGAAACCCTTAACTGGCCTAAGGCCCAGGGATCCAAGTCATGGCCAAAGCTGGCTTCCCCCAAGTTTCCCACAGCCAAGCAGGTTGGGAGAGGGCTTTAGATTGATTTCAGGGAAGCTAGACATGCATTATTGTGCAATTGACTCTGTCTAGCCAACAGAATCCTAAAACATCTATGATGCAGACCTATTTGATCTCTTCAGGACTATATTGTAATCGTGAATACACGTGATGCACATTTCACATTTCCAAAGGTTTCTTTTGTTTTTTATTTTATTCTTTTTGCTCATCCCACATCCTGGAATGAAGAAGGCCACAGCATGACAGTGCAAAAAGGATGCAGGGACTTCAAGCTCTCTTTAAAATGACATTTTTCTTTGTGCTTTTATGTTTCTTATTGTTTTTCTGTGCACTACTGGCTTTCAAACATGCTTTGTTATGGAACTCTTTTCACTTTCTGTCCAATGTACTAAAATACTGTTATAGTCTTTGTAATGTATATTGTCTCAAGAATAAAATGAAATGTGGGTCTGGGGATGCAAGATGGCTATGTTTAACAGCATTGTTCTAGTTGTATCATTGACTCTTAAATGTATGGTGGTATGTTTTCAATAGTGTAACAAGATTTTGGAACACGTGTTTTGAAAAAGACTTGCAGAAGGCATGATTCATTTAAAATTTTTAAAGCCCTGTTCAGATTCTATAAATTCATTTCCAAAGTGGGATATGAGATTCAGCTTTAAAACTCCTTGTTTTCCAGTCCTCACTATGCTCTAACCTGTGAATAGGAATTTTAAAGTGATCATTGGTAGAAGCTAGGCATAAAATTCAGCCATGAATTGGAAGAAAATGATTCTTTTGTATGTGAATTCATCCCAGAGTAAAATAAAGTAACCAAAGTAAGGACATGCTTTACAGTTTTGTTTTTGACTCAATCATTAGTCCTTTTTTTTTTATAGTAAGTTGCTGTATTCCTTCTAAAATTATTTTAATTCAGTGTATTATCCTTTGATTGTTTTAGAAGTTAGTGTATAAACCTTTCTGAGTTAAAAATTAAATGATTCTCTCTAGGGGATACCTGAGTGCTCATCAAAAATGCATTTGCCAGATCTGTTCCAACACCGCTTGAAACTAGAGGTCATACACCTTGGAATATTTTAAGACCACACTTCTTCCTCCACCCAACCCAACTTCTCATGGGATCCAAATCTTGAGGAAGGAGGGTTGGGAAATTTCCACAGGTGATTCTAGTACCCACCCCCACTTAGGTGAGAAGAATCGATTTAGTAAAATGATCTAAGAAGATGAAGTCATTTGTTTCACTACATTTAGTTCATGCCATTATTAAAAATTATCAGGTGTTTTATTAACATACAGGTTACATCCTAGGTTCAGTCCCACATATGTGTATCATTTAACTTAGGCCCAAGTCACAACAAACGCCTTCTAGTTACCACCAGAGTTAGAGGTGCATGAAGTAGTGTTAGAGAACAGAGTTTTTATCAAGATCCAGTGATATCTCCTCACTTCTCACATTTTTCTTCTTTGTTTATTTATTTTGCTTCCCTCCAGCCCCGAATATTTCCCCTTTCTAAACAGTAAGCCTTCCATTTAGTACGGAAACTTTAGTGGAAAAGATTGAGCTTGGGGGCCGAGAAAAATTTAAGCTGCCTAGTTTAGAATCAACTGAAAGAGGATTTATTAAATGGGGGGGGGGTGTACTTTTCATTTGGAAAAGGGCCAGAGAAAAGCCTTTTTATACCCAGCAAAGTTAACTAATATAAAAAGGGCTTTGGTTTTTCATGAATCAGGCCTCTGGTGACTCATTTCAGCTGGTGTGTTTTAAGTGTGTACAAATACTGTTTATCCTCCTGGTTGCTGCTTCATAGCTTTGATGTGTAGTATCTCTTTATAGGATGCAGCTTTGAGCCTCAGTCGGCACCTTACTCTCAGTTAGGCAAGTACACCTATATCGTGATTGTCATCTTTGACTTGTGTGGTTGGCATGCTCAATTTCCTCCACCAAATAAATGGCGGCAGCTTATTGTATGTCAATAAAATTGTCTGATTGTCATGAAAATCCCCCATTAGAACACTTTCCCCTATACTTAGAAAAGTGTATTTTTAAATCTTATACCTAGAAGAGGATTGCATTCCCCCCCAGTTTTCTTATACATCAAGGCAGAGCACTCTTTATGAGTGCTAATGTGGGTTAAGGTACAAGTCAGACCGACAGTTGTAGTGTTTGTAGTGTTTGAAATCAAGCCCTTTTTTGGTATGAGTCTATCAAAAGAGACGTGTTTTCTTATCAATGTCAATTTTGCTTCCTGTTTCTCTCTCCCATGCCTTTCACTTGGAATGACAACAGTTGACATTAAAAAGCTGTTGGCAGGTATGGAATAACCTTATTCTGTTACAAATAGCAAAGACCAAAGTGCATGTGAGATGGCTCACAGGTTCAATAAATCAGCAATGACATCTCTCCGGAGTGTGTTATTGGTAGGCGGCATTTAGAACTTGGGTCAGAACGATGCGTGCAAAGATGTCATTCTCTCTTCACCTAATGTCCAAAATACCTACTGCTCCAGCAAAATAGTTTACATGTTAGTGTTAGGAGTAACATGCAAACTGTTATTTTTAAGGTATGAAGGAAGCGACCCATCTCATGTCCAAAGTCACACTCATGAAAATTATTTCATGTTGCCGATAGCTTTGCAGCCTTTGAGCTTCCACTAGCGCTGAGGACGTTTTCAAAACGATTAGATGTCAGCACTTCTGCCGAAGGGACATTTCCTGGTTTCACTCAGTGTGTTTTATCCCTCCTCCATCTAGGACTGTAGATCCTAGCCTCCCCGCCTCAGGGTAACACAGGCATCTTAGCGCACCCTCTCCCTTTATGTCTCCGGTGTACTGTTGTCCCAGTCACCGGGTGAAGGGACTTGCACCTTCCAAAATCGATGCCACTTCACTCCCGGATCACCTGGTTGGGAGTGCAGTCTGAGTCAGGTAACCCCTGCTGAATCGGTCTTGTGTCCTCCGTCTGCTTCTGGGTGCAGAGAGTACCACCTCCCAGGATGTGGCCCCTGTCTGCTCACTCACAGCCCCCTGTGGCCCCGGACACCTCCTTCCTGCATGGCAGCATGAAAATGGGACACGACACTCCTCCCCCGTGCAGGGGCATGTTGCACTGCACAGAGCTCTTCGGGTCATCCTCGGTAACCCCACTCCCTTCTCTTGTTCCCAGTGGCCTGGTTTGCTTTCGACCCTGGCTCGGCACACGCTGACATCATCTTCTCCAATGACAACCTGACAGTGACCTGCAGCAGCTATGATGACCGGGTGGTGCTGGGGAAGACTGGCTTCTCCAAGGGCGTCCACTACTGGGAGCTAACCGTGGATCGCTATGACAACCACCCTGACCCTGCCTTCGGTGTGGCTCGCATGGACGTGATGAAGGATGTGATGTTAGGGAAGGATGACAAAGCTTGGGCAATGTATGTGGACAATCACCGGAGCTGGTTCATGCACAACAACTCGCACACCAACAGGTACCCAGCAGCCCCCAGGCTGAGCCTTCTTCATGCTGGCTTCTGGTACAAAATGAGAGCCCAAGTTCAGAGTCCTATTAAATTGACAACATTCAGGCAGCCAGGCAGGTGGTCTCCAGTAAGTGACACAGGAGTTCTACTACTCTTACCTGAGTCCTTCTCAGGGGTTAATTGATAGATTGATGGATTGATTGATTTTACGTTTTCATAATGCCAAAGATATGAGCCCTTTCCTAGGTCCTTCACCATGGCTGGTAACTAAGACTCCCCATGCATATCTTTTCCAGGAAAATATCCTAGGATCATAAAATCCAGACCTACAACTTACCAGGAGAGCCTTTTAGTTTTTCTGAACCTTTGTCTCCAAATCCGTCAAATTAGGCTAATTATATTTTTCCAGATGGGAGTGTTCTCCAGATTAAATGAGATATGTGAGAATGCCTCACATCGGAGGCAGCTGAAAACAGAAGCCGTTGTTCTTCTTGTTAGGATTATTATCAATACCACTTCCCAGAATAGAAACCATGCATTAAACTTAAATCTTACAGATACCAGTTTAGATAGCTTTAGAATTTGTAGGCCTATTACCGTATAAATTCAGAACGCCCAGTTTTCTGGGGAAGGAGAATGTAGTCATCTCCTTAGGTTTGCCTCTAACACCAAAATATAGACAATTATCATTTAACCCAAACTCTATTTTTTTCCCTACACTTCCTTTATCATTTGGTTTGTGTAAGTAGAGAGGTAGAGGAAAGCAAGTCTGACAGTAGTACCCTGGTGGATTCCACTGTCTCAGTTTTTTCTGGAAGGTCATCACTGCTCCTTCTCTAGTCAGTAGGATTCCTAAGACCTCCACTTCCCATTCCCTTGGACATTTTCTATACACACCCATCTGGGTGTCTATTGTTTGCTCATAATCCCTTACAGCGAACACACATACCACTTCAGCCTGATATCAAATCCATCTGGGTGTCGATAAGTGGGCATCTTTGGTGACTTACATTTGGGGGAGCCCTCAGTCACTAGAGTCATCATACCATTCCCCCCTGTACCCACTTACTTTTCCCTTCTAGCTTCTTTATTTTGGAGTGAAGGAGTAAATAATAACACAAGGGTCACACTATGCCAAGAAATACATTCTTTTTTTTTTTTTAAAGATTTTATTTATTTATTTGACAGAGATTACAAGTAGACAGAAAGGCAGGCAGAGAGAGGAAGGGAAGCAGGCTCCCCGCTGAGCAGAGAGCCTGATGTGGGGCTCGATCCCAGAACCCTGGGATCATGACCTGAGCCGAAGTCAGAGGCTTTAACCCACTGAGCCACCCAGGCGCCCCAAGAAATACATTCTTAAAGTTGAACGTGTCTGCTTGTGTGCATACTGTGCTCTCATTGTTGAAGTTATGAATTAACAAGATGCGATTTATAAACCTGTCCTTTGATGATTATGTACAGTCTGTATTGTACATGCTGGGGGGAAAGAACAACACTTAACCAGCTTCTGTGCTTTGCTGAGATGAGGATGAAGTTCAGTACTGGCAGACCTCAAAGATCAGGGTGTAAGGCAAATCTGACCATCCACGTTGATGACTTTTGTGAAAGCATTTGTTGAAATATTAGACATAATTTGCTTTAAAATGACATTTCAATGAAGGTTCTTTAAAATCACTCCTCCATTTTCCACAATATAATTGTTTCACTTTGCAGGGGAGAACCCTCTCCAATGTTGTCATTTTTTAGAGAGGCTTCTCAATTTAAACTCAACATGCCCAGAGCTAACATCTTTCTGGAATAAGTTTTTTCTGTTAAATCGGTAGCATACGGCCCCACATCCCATTTTTCATGCATATGCTTTCAATTCAGCTTAAGTGCTTCTTTATTTTGGCTTTCAAATTAAGGCATTTTGGAGTTGATGTTTAATTCACACCATTTGTGCCAAGTGCACAACATCGCTGCAGACAGAGCTCTGATAGCCCAAAGCCGGCTTTTTTCTCTTAGACTTGATTGATTTGTTTTCTGCTGAGGAGGCTCAGAGGTAGAGGCCCTCTGGGAATGAGTTCGCTCTCAGCCACCGCAGAGCAGCATTGTTTAAACTATATTCTCTGCAGGGGGCACTATCTCCCCCAAGGGAGAGAAACTTGGTGTGTGGGGAGGAGGGAATTAAGCAAAAAATCTTACTATTTATTTACAAAGCACAGATATACACACAACACATAAACAAATACCCAGTGTATTTCTGGTATTAAAACAATATGTGAGGAAGGTGACGAGGGAAAAAAAAAATATTTAAAAATGCTCCTGGGGTGTGGGGAACAACATTTTTAAACAGGTTGAGAAATACTAGTTAGTACAAAAGGGTTTATATAGTTAGTACAAAGAGGGGAGCTTCTAGAATGATGACAAGTGAAACCCAGTTGTTTTCTTTTCCTCCAGAACGGAGGGAGGGATCACCAAGGGGGCCACAATCGGGGTCCTCCTCGACTTGAACAGGAAAACCTTGACCTTTTTTATCAACGACGAACAGCAGGGTCCCATAGCCTTCGAGAACGTGGAAGGCCTGTTCTTCCCGGCGGTCAGCCTGAACAGGAACGTGCAGGTAAGCGCCGTGCCCCCGCGCCTCCCAGCAGCTTCTGCCCGCTCTGCTTCAAAGGCTGCCCGCGGGTGGTACGTTAGCCCCTGAGAGAGGGAAGCCAACCGTGTAAGGCCCAGATCAAGACCCGGAGGAAAGGAGAGGGGAAAGGGATCAACGTTGACAACAGAGATGATTCCAGATCAGCATCAGCCCCTTCGTTAAGCTTGGACACAGTCTAATTCACAGCAAGTGGGCGACTGGAACTCAGTTCACGGTTTGCTCTTGACCGGCCCTGAGGCCTAGTTTCATCCCTAGTAGGAAAGAAACTCTTGAACCAGCTGGTTTGAAAACAGATGGAATGACTTATGCAAAGCTCCATGAGTGCCCGAGAGGTGAAGGTATGAGACGGAAGTATTAGCACCGTTATCAGAAATCCTGAGCATCTTCTCTCTGCACTGTTCCTCTGCTCCGTTAGGTGCCACGGGGATTAGAAAACAGTCCCTGCCTGCGGGTTACTTACTTATGATTTACTGCAAATGGCCAACAGGTTCTTCTCATACATGCATTCAACAAATAACTACTGAGTGCCTTTAATATGTCAGGCACTGTAATTACTAGAAGTATTGTTGTTTATCAGTGAGAACAAAACAAAATCTTGCCCTCATAGAGCTCACATTTGAGTTATGGGTAATAGAATAAATAATAAGCACAATGACCATGTTAATGATATATGAGCTAGAAGACAGTAAGTGCAAGGGAGATGAGGCCAAGGGCAGGGCGAGGGGGTTGGGGGTGGTAAGGAGGAGAGGGCAGCTGCCATCTCAGCCAGGGTGCTCACTGTGGGGTGGGCCCATGTGAGCTGTGCCCTGGAGGGAGTGACCTGTGTGGAGCTAGCTTCCCAGGCAGAGGGAACAACCGGCACAAAGTTTCTGAGGCATGGGGGGCCTCATGGGAGCAAGGCAGGGCCAAGGGGCCAGGGCTGGGGTGAAGATCAGAGTCATGGGGTGCTCTGTTGCTAGGCTGGGCTTTCCCTGCCCCTCTCAGCTGGAGCTCTCATTATCAGCTGCTGTAAGATGGCTAGGTCGTGGGAATCAAAACCTTCCAGGTGATTTTTGCTCTGTTCAAAACCATAGTCTTGGGAGCTTAAAAAAAAAAAAAGAAAAGAAAATGATTGTTGTTTATCAGTGTGTGCAGTAAAAGTGATTGCAACCCAGTGACCTTTGCCCTTCTCTCTTCCTGCGACTAGATGGGATTTTCTGGGAGGCTGAAATCTAATCTCTCAGAGTTCAGCCTCTACATTGGAAGAAAGGAAACCATAAATTGCCCTAGACGTGAGTCTTAGAAAAACCTCCTTCAAAGATTTCCACACATTGCAGCTGTTTCCCCTTCCAACGGATGTTGTACTCAGTGGTTTTCAGTGTTTTCCAGGGTGTTCTGAGTATCTTTAGAGAAAGACTCTGGGGCTCGGGAGACAGGGACGAGAAGGGGAAGGAGAACAGTAGAGCCTGAGATGCTTCTGGCCTCGTCCATGCCGCTGTCCATCGAGATGCGAGGCTGCTCGGGATCCAGGGAAACCATACCCCTGCCCCTGTTTCTTAGACCTGGCAATCACCTATTCGTTCCCCAAATGAAAGGCTCATCCTAATCGGAGTTACTAGTGGACACAGGATAAGAGAAGGGTTCTCCGCTCACCGGTTCTCTATCCGTGGATTCGGCCTTTTCACTGCGCCCTCACCAACAGGCTTTGCTACCTGCAGATCAATGCCTGTGTCTTCAGTCAGAAGGAACACAGCCTGCCCAGGATCCTTAAAAGAGGCAGGTGGATAAGAACCACATTATCAAGTGTCTCCAAGATTTGGGAACCCCCAACCGTGGCCAGGCTCTTAGCGCAGGCAGAATTCTACTAGAATTCTTCTTTAACTTCTACTAGAATAGACGTTAAAGAAAGGAAACAGGTCCCCCATTGAACTAGGAACACAGCCGCTGTGCCCCGGGGAGGGGCTGATGCAGGGAGGGTTCCTGCGGTGCTTCCAGGACTCACAGTCTCGTCCCCCAGGTCACGCTTCACACCGGGCTCCCAGTCCCTGACTTCTACTCCAGCAGAGCATCAATAGCCTAAGGATGGGCCGTGGAGGCGCCAGCTGCCGGTCCTACCCTCCGTCCTTACCTCCGCCTGGGAGAGCGACAGCACCTGGTGGGATGCCGGAGAGCTGAAAGCAGAAGGGGAGGAGGAGAGAAAAGCTGGTCCCCACGCGTTCACACTCCACAGCTCCGCTCCGCCCCTACCTTTCCGACCTCTCTCCCGCTCTGATGCCTGCGTTCACTTCCGCCTCCCGCAACTCTAACCAACGAAGGACCTAGGCCGCCCACCATATCACTTAGTTTCCAATCCCAGGTTTTGCACTTACTTTACATAATTTTTTTAATGTAGGTGAGTTATATTTTGTTTCTTTTCTGATCATGTTCTTGGTGACTTACTGAACTGTTACTGCCAAGAGAATATTCTCCTGATAACCTTTTTCTTAAGCTTTCTGACAAAGAAGTTGTAGAGAGGGGTGGGAAGAATGCTTTAAATTTGGAGCTTGCAGTTTGCCTCCTAGAAGGTTCTTGCTGTTACCTCTCATGCAGTGCTAGACCTGCATAGCTAATCTTTGAGAGGTGGGCAGAGTGAATGCAGCATTGAGAAGTTTGACTATCCATTGAAGCACAAAAATAATAGCCATATGGCTACACAAAGGTTCACAGCCCGCAGGATCCTTAGGATAGCTGGGTTACTGGGAGAGGCCAGAAACCCTGGTCATTGAATCAAACTAAGAAGTCTCTAGACTGGGGCAGACCAGGGGGTTTATGATTTGGTTCATTTATTTAATATAAGTTTTTAACTGAGAACCTACTATGGACCAGGCACTGTTCTAGACACTGGAGACACAGTGGTGAACACACAGGTGTGGTTACTGCCCTTCTGGAGCTTAAATTCTCATAGGAGAGCAAACCAAAAATATGACAATTACAAATTATTTTACAAGTACTAGAAAGGAAATAAGGAGCAATGAGGCTCATTGGCAAGATCTCTCAGTTTCCCAAGAATGATGCTAAAAATCTACCCATTCTGGCCATGGCACCAGAAACATACCAACTCAATGCCTTTTCTGCTACATTATTTTAATTATGGTACCTGCTGCCATTCATCATAATTATGGCAGAAATGATGTCAGCATTCTTATTTGTTAATGCTGCAATGACACTAAGCCTTAAAAATGAATGTGAAAAAAAAATAGCAACCAGAGAGAGAACCCATTTTTCAGTAATGGGGGATCTTAATTTGCAGTCCATGGCATCCCCATTCTCAGGATAAACTCACGTGTCTCCATGTATATCTGTGCCTGTTACAAATGACAAATCCATCCACTCTGCTGCCATTCACAACCTAACTTTCTGGAGTAGTTCCAGTAATGTGTGGAAGAAAATGAAATTGTATGTCATTGCTCTAACTGATAGCAGAACGATAATTCTTATTACTTCTCTACAGAGACAGACTTACACGGTTACCCTTCTGATTCTTTAGTTTTGACATGCAGTTTTAGAAAACGTAGAACATGGAAAGAGGTTCTGATTAGTTGTCTAAATATTTGCCAGTGAGCCAAGAAATTCCACATGAAAAAACAAGAATAACAGATAAAAGAGAAGTGGTAGGATGGGAAAGCTAACAAACTAAAGTTTTGGCATAAAGTAAGATATGTAAATAGCTAATTTTTTTCCTTTTGTGCTTTATTTAGCTCATCTCTATCAGTTACAGTGTTTCTCTGGTTACATGTTCCTAATTTATTGGATGGGTGCTATCCTGTATATGTCCATCTTGGTTTCTTGGCTACAGAAAAATTCTGTTGCAGGACAACACTAGTTTGCTATTTGATTTACTCTCCAATGAGACTCGATGGCTGGGCCGCTGTAGACTCATAGTTCCTCTTTATTAAATTCATCCTGCTGAGTAGGTTTCTAGTGACTTGTGACACCTAGTTTACACAGAATTACCATTGTAGATGCATACAGCTATTGTACTAGAAAAATGGATATTTCTGGTGTGCCAATAAAAGATTTTTATGAGAGAACATCATATGTCTCTTTAAAATTCTTGGGTTTTGCCTGTTTGGGATGATGATTCACCTTTGTCCAAGTGACAGGTTCTCAGGCAAGTGTGACTGGAAAGTCCCCTAGAGTTCACAAAAGTTCTTGGTCCTCACCTGATTTCCCTGGGAGCACAGACACTCCTGTGGTACCTACCTCCTGAATCTTGGCTAAGTGTGAAAGATCTGTAGTTTAGATGCTGTTTGGGTATTTTTCCAAATCTTGGGAACTTACTTTCACAAACCTGCTCCTGAAAAACCCGTAAAATTGTACTACAAAGTATAATGTCACTGCCTTTTTCAAACCTGGTTCCTTCGACATTTCTTTGAATGGCTGAACAATGTGCTTGTTTTTAAGTAATCACACTGGGGATGGCTGGGTGGCTCAGTTGGTTAAGCATCTGCCTTTGGCTTAGGTCATGATCCCAAGGTCCTAGGACCCTGCTCCCTGCTTAGCAGGGAGGCTGCTTTTCACTCTGCCCTTCCCACCTGTTTATGTATTCTGTCTCTCTCTCCGATAAATAAATCAAATCTCTAAAAAATAAGTAAGTAAATAATCACAACAGTACTGATCACCTTTATATTATCATTACCCCGTATCTATTTTTTTTTGGCTGACATTTATTTATTTTTGTCTGTAAATTTTTATTATTTTCTTCTTATTTAAATTCAATTAATTAACATATATTATTAGTTTCAGATGTAGAGTTTAGTGATTCATCAGTCTTATATATTACCCAGTGCTCATTACATCATGTGCCCTCCTTAATGTCCGTCACCAGTTACCACATCCCCCCACACCCCTCCCGCCCAGCAACCCTCAGTTTGTTTCCTATGATTAAGAGTCTCTTATGGTTTGTCTCCCTCTCTGATTTGATCTTCTTTTATTTTTCCCTATTTCCTCTATGATCCTCTGTTTTCTTTATTTTTTTATTTAAATTCAATTAACTACCATGTAATGTATTATTGGTTTCAGAGGTAGAGGTCAGTGATTCATCAGTCTTATATAACACCCAGGGCATATGACATTATGTGTCTTCCTTAATGCCCATCATCCAATTAACCAATTCCCTTACTCCGTCCCCTCCAGCTACCTTCAGATTGTTTCCTATGATTAAGAGTCTCTTATGGTTTGTCTCCCCCTCTGATTTCATCTTATTTTATTTTTTCTTGTATGATCCTCTGTTTTGTTTCTTAAATTCCACATATGAATGAGATCATACAATAAATGCCTCTCTCTGATTCATTTATTTTGCTTAACATAATATCCTCTAGGTCCATCCAAGTCATTGCAAATGGCGAGATTTCATTTTTGATGGCTGAGTAATATTCCATTGTAAATATATACGCCACATCTTCTTTGTTCATTCATCTGTCGATGGGCTCTTTCCATAGTTTGGTTATTGTGGACATTGCTGCTATAAACATTGGGGTGCAGGTGCCCCTTTGAATCACTATGTTTGTATAGTTCAGAAAAATACCTAGTAGTGTAATTGCTGCATCACAGAGTAGCTCTATTTCAACTTTTTGAGGAACCTCTATACTGTTTTCCAGAGTAACTGCACCAGCTTGCATTCCCATCAACAGTGTAAGAAGGTTCCCCTTTCTCTACATCCTCACCAACATTTGTCATTTCCTGACTTGTTAATTTTAGCCATTCTGACTTACGAGTTGGTATTGATTTGTATTTCCCTGATGATGAGTGATGTTGAGCATTTTTTGTTGTTGTATCTGTTGGCCATTTGGATGTCTTCCTTGGAGAAATATCTGTTCATGTCTTCTGCCCATTTCTTTTTTTTTTTTTTAAGATTTATTTATTTATTTGACAGACAGAAATCACAAGGAGGCAGAGAGGCAGGCAGAGAGAGAGGAGGAAGCAGGCTCCCTGCTGAGCAGAAAGTCCAATGAGGGGCTCGATCCCAGGACCCCAGGATCATGACCTGAGCCAAAGGCAGAGGCTTTAACTCACTGAGCCACCCAGGTGCCCCTTCTGCCCATTTCTTTATTGCATTATTTGTGCTTTGGGTGTTGAGTTTGATAAGTTCTTTATAGATTTTGGACACTAACCCTTTATCTGTTAAGACATTTGCAAATATCTTCTCCCATTCTTCGGTTGTCTTTTGGTTTTGTTGACTGTTTCCTTTGCTGTGCAGAAGCTTTTTATCTTTATGATGCCCCAATAGTTCAGTTTTGCCTTTGTTTTCCTTCCTTTGGAGACGTGTCCATCAAGAAGCTGCTATGGCCAAGGTCACAGAGGTTGCTGCCTATGTTCTCCCCTAGGATTTTGATGGATTCCTACTCACATGTAGGTCTTTCATCCATTTTGAGTCTATTTTTGTGTATGGTGTAAGACAATGGTCCAGTTTCATTCTTCTGTATGTTGCTATTCAGTTTTCCCAACAGCATTTGTTGAAAAGACTGTCTTTTTTCCATTGGATATTCTTTCCTGCTTTGTCAAAGATTACCTGACCACAGAGTTGAGGGTCCATTTCTGGGTTCTCTATTCGGTTCCATTGACCTATGTGTCTGTTTTTGTGCTTGTACCATACTGTCTTGATGATTACAGTTTTGTAATAGAGTTTGAAGTCCAGGATTGTGATGCCACCAGCTTTGGTTTTCTTTTTCAACATTCCTTTGGCTATTCAGGGTCTTTTCTGGTTCCATACAAATTTTAGGATTCTTTGTTCCAGCTCTGTGAAAAAAGTTGATGGTATTTTGATAGGGATGCACTGAATGTATAGATTGCTCTAGGTAGCATAGACATTTTAACAATATTTGTTCTTCCAATCCATGAGGCATAGAATAATTTTCCATTTCTTTGTGTCTTCTTCAATTTCTTTCATGAGTGTCCTATAGTTTTCTGAGAACAGATCCTTTGCCTCTTTGGTTAGGTTTATTCCTAGGCATGTTATGGTTTTTGGCACAATTATAAGTCAAACTGACTCCTTTATTTCTCTTTCTTCTGTCTCTTTGTTAGTGTATAGAAATACAACTG